GACTAAATTATTGTATAATGATTGTCACTAGTTATTGCTTACTGAATTAATAATAAATTAAAACATGCGTAATCAAATCGAATGAGCAAATAGGAAAGTTGCAGACTGCAGATATTATAAAAATTGTAATTAATTAAGAAAATCACTGATTTGGTAACAAATAAATATCATTATTTCAGCCAAATAAGAATAACAAGATCGACATGACGACATATTTCTATGATTGAATTTGGCAATGGAATCGCAGACATATATTCCATTGATAATTATTGATAGGTAGGTGCTTTGAAATGAAGCTGAACAATAAGCTATAAAACGAATGAAACGTCATATTATTGTAAATTAGTCTGACGTTGTCACAACCATAGGCATTTTTGATTAGCAAAAATGCATTTTATAAAATAAACTTACCGAGGTTAGATAATATATTGTATATTTATTGATGTAAAAAAATAATTTAAACTGTGTATAGTAATCATCACTCATTCATATGTAGCGTATTATAATTTTATAATCTTATTTTATTTATTATTTAACATTTAAATCTGTATTACTGATTACTGTTAGTTATTTTATAAACATTTGATATCAAATAGGTAAGTTACTTGACAACAATTTGATAACTCACAATGTTTTTATTTTTGATTAAAACACCGTTCTCACGGCAACACTGTAATTTGTAAATGTAAACGCATTTTCGAAACCCCTTTTGGCTTTTTGTATAAGTATTTACTACTTTGAAAGTTTCGACTTTTAAGTATTAAATGTTTATGCCATGGGTTCGACTACCGAACAGCAGGCTACTGTTCGATAATAAGTGGTTTAAAATAACTTAATAAATTGATTTATTTTCAAATAGTATAGTACTATAAAGTATATCGTCATAGACACTGAATAGTCTCTGTAAATTGTAATAGACATTAAATTTTACTAAATATTAAATATAAATTATCAATGGCCTATAATAAGTAAAATAACAGAAGCACTGTGTACTTCCCACTGGGTAAAAAGTGGTCATGGAGAATAATGTACCTATGTCAATTATTGTCAATAGACGGTTAACATTTTAAAAATGATGCAGCTTTATCAAATGGTATGATATTAATTTTATTATTATTTTAAATATGATAAATAGGGAATCAGGATTATATTATTACCTAGACCCTGGTCTCCAATTTAGCAAAGTTTATCCTATAAATCTACGTATAACACAGAAAGTTAATTTAAAATATGAACTAGTTCATAACTCATAAGCACGGTATTGAATTAAATATTCGATTCAATAATTTTCTCTGAATTAACATGTTTTGATAAAGATAATTTATTAATTTTTATTATGTACTAGTTAATTAGTTTTAGATACTAAATAGAGCGATGAATATATTGATTTTCTATTTTTCATTATTATGGCTCGAATTTGAAGGAAAATGCCTTTCTTTTATAATAATAGAAGACAAATTTTTATATAAGAAAAGACCTAATCTAACCGTTCAGAATGTGTTTCATTTATTTTCTAAGATAATAAATGAAGTTCGCATTCGTCAATTGTCGTTAAGTCGATTTCACATTTATTTCATACAGTTTTTTCTGCAATATACCAAAAGTTAAACTAAGTTCTTAGTTAAAAAACTATATTACAAAATTCGACGAAATTATATTTTCAACTAATAGATTAATTTTATACTGTAAAATTTGGAACGTTAAAGTATTAAGTGAAAACAATTTCCATTTACTGCAATATTTAAATCAGAAGGAATAAGTATAAAAATGGGTTAGCAAAAATTAACGAATTGTGTAATGCTTTAGTGGCGGCAAATACCCCTATACATAAATTAAACAATGGTATTTTTAGATCTTTTTTATCGAAATATTACATGCGATATGCGAATCAATGTTACGAAAAGCCGAAAAAGGTTTTTGAGTACTTTGATAAATGTTATGAAGAGTTTTTGTTAAACATTCGTGATGAAAAAAAAATTTTTTTTATTTTTTATATAAAATATAGGTTTATAATGACAAAAACACAGTTTCAGGACACTGCTAAATGGATAATGTAATAGTTGAAATTCTCCAAGAAAATAAAGTCCTGGAAATTTGTATCTTTTTCACACAGATTAATAATATTTGACGCAGCACTTTATATGTATAAAGAAAATGGGTACAATTCAAACTTTGTATCCGAATATTACACATTTATCTTTCAATGGTAACACCAATATCTTTTCTATCGCTTTTTCTTTTAGATTATTATTTAATTTTTTCCGGACGATGTCTTGTTCGCTAGGTTTATTATGATAATGATTATTAAAATGTTCAGTATCAATAACATTATATGAGTTAAGACCGAATTTTGCATAAAACGCATGTTGCTATTTTCAACATCATATAGTTATACAAACACACACTATCATTAAAATCATTATTTTTTTATAATGTTTTTTGTCTATTGGTGCGTAGAATTAATTTGTGTCCAAGTGGTATACCATTTTATGCTCTCAGCCTAAACGGCTAAGTAGGTAAATGCTTTTAAAATGTATATACATAAATTTTTACAAATTTATGGTAGTTAATTTATTTTTAATGCTAACTTGTAAAATTTAACATAAACCCATTACACTTTTTAATTTTTAATATTGCACGTTCTTATTTTTTATTGTTTATATTGCCTTCATATCCTAGTTCTAGTCATCACCTTTGGGATTGTAAAAATATTTTGATTTTCAAAATGGGAAGATTTCTGGTAATAAAGTGGACCTAATTAGTACTTTTTTTTGCAATCAGCAAAAACAAACAAAAAATTAAGGAAAAACGCAAATTTTTAATAAAATTAACTTTGTTTTTTGGTGCAACTTATAAACAAATTACTATAAATACTTGAAATTTTCACCAAATTTTTATATTAAAATTTTCTATTTACAACAAAAAATATCATTTTAACTATTTTAAGCTATTTATAAGCATTAGAAATTTTCTATTTATTCCATGCACGTTCGCTATATCCTTCTATTAGTTGCGCCTAGTGCCAATATTGTCAAAAAGAGATAGCCAATTAATGTATGGCTGAAACTTTATATTTAATAGAAATATAGAACTTTAAGTGTGTGTGAATTTTGTTTCACGATGTTATTCTCTGATATCAATCTATTCCTTTATAGGTCTATAGTAAAAATGATTCAATTTATTGTATCGTTAAGGATGGTTTCCAGTAAAAAATGGGATATCATTGATATTTTAAAGGTCTTCAATAAAAAAAATAACTATATTTATTTTCAAAAACTGAAATTTTATGCAAAACCAGATTTCGATAAAATTGATTTTTTTTTTTTTTGATTTTACTATAATTAAAAAATTGAATAAATATTAAGATTTAATTTTCCATTAAATATTTACATTTGTATTTTATAAACATGATTACATGTTAAAATTATTTTATCTTTTTTGAATAATACTTGGGCATTTGAAATATTCGCCTTTTTCAACTTATGCGTAAGAAAACTATTGCTTGTAGGTAAAAAAAAAAATTGAAAATTTTACTATAGCAGATTTCTTTAGAGCTTATAAAATTATGTTTAATATGACACACTTGTAATTTGTGTAATATAAAAAATAACGAGTATAAGTACTGATTCACCTCCAAAATAGAGAAAATAAAAAATCGAATTCAAAATATTTAATACAAAACAGCGAAAATAATTTAATTGAAAAAATAAATAGCAAATAAAAAATAATGGAAAATATAAAAAAATATTAAAATGATGACAACAATTATTATTTTTGTCATATATATGTTTATTTTTATTAATATTTTATAGGCAATTATGAAAAAATAATAAAATATTAATAAACTAATATGTCAAATAATAGGCAATTCATTTTAAAATTTAAATTATCATTTTTTACTATACGAAATTTTAAAGTGTATAATAAATTATTTTATATTTTTTATCTTTTCATCCAATCATCAAAAATGGTAAAATATTTTTTATTATCGTTTATCAGTAAACTTTATCACAGAAATTGGTTATCTTTATTCAATACAAAAAAACTATTTTATTTTATTTTTATTAATCAAAATAAAAATCTATCCATGGCTATGGTCACTGTACGTGATATTGATATAAACATTTTTGTATTACAAAGTTACAGCGAAAAATTTACATTTTTAAATAATTATAGTGTGTATAAAAGAGAGGAAAATTTAAATATTAAATAATCAAAACTATAATATAGTTAAGATGATAATGTTTAAATGTTTAAATTAGAACTTGGAAGTTAGAAGTTAGAACACATTTATCTTTTTGCTAGTGGCTGAAAAATAAATTAAAAACAAACAAGTTTAAAGATAATATGGTGACAAAAACAATTATTCTTATGGATCTATAATTATTTTATAAATAACAAATATACATTAGTTTAAAAAAATAAGAAAATAAGGGAACTTTACCTCATTTAATTTACCTCCAATTACGCCACTGCGGCACTGCATAGCGCACACAACTATATCTCATAAAATGTATATATATACAACATCCAAACTGGATACTTATAAAAATTCTATACATGTCCTATTATAGTTGAACCATAGTATAAAATCTATAAATACGGTTTATTCCTAAGACATTTATTTCATACACTGAAATTATTTGCATATAATATAAACATTGAGCAAATCGTATACCATTTAAAATAATTATTTGAAGGACATTTTAGAATTGAATTTCTGTTTCATTAAATAAAACATTGAAATTTTGAATAATATGAATATATTATTATTTTATATAGGTATATTATATAATATCGCTTTATCATTTACTAAGCTAAAAAATGTATAGATAAAAATATTTATAGATAGATTATTAAGTAAAACTTAAACTTAAATGTAATATTTATAAATTTATGAGTGCATCTTTATTCTTAAATGTAAAATCAAGGTAAAAGTATAAAAAGTTTTTTTTTATTTTGAATTCTAATTTACTATAAAAAAAGAATTTTTGACTCACGTTTGTGGACGTAAATTTATTGCGATGAACCGGATCTTATTAAGTATCTGTCATGAACATTAAAGATAAATATACATAAATTATACATTTATACATAATAAATAAAACATGGGCTTCACTGGTATCAGTATATTACACTATCAACTGTCTATACTCGTAGTGTCCATCAGTGTCCCCACTGATACTTTTAAGTACTTAAAACGTAAATATTAATTGAGGAACCAATTTGTCTCCCTTCACAAATCACAGACATATTTTACTGTCCTCCTAAAGGTTAAAAGTATAATTCTTCACCGCTTAACTTAAAAATGTTATACTAAAATTTAAGTTTTTTTGGGCGTAGGTATGATCGTTTCAAAGAAATATGTACAAACAATTTTATTATTCAATTTTTTTCTTATTAGTTATTATAATAATTTTATAACATATATAATTTATACTTACCTACGACTTATCTGCTTAATAACCAAATAAGTTGTTTCAATAAAAATATTCTCTATTTGTTCTGTATTTAGGTATATATTATGCTTATATAAATGATAAATTTATTAGGTATATACTATAATTATTATATAAACATTAAATAAAGAAATTTGTAAAGGTTTTCCCATTTTACAATATATATTTGTAAAGCTTCCTACCACATGTAGACCGTGGATCACGTACAATATGCAGATCATAATATAATAAGTAACATTTTACTACATATAAGTTATAATACTTATAACCATTGATTATGAATATTATAGTATTATTTATAAACAATGATGCAATATATTTATGTATGAATATCTGCAATGATCATAATATGGTTAAATATACATATAGACTATACATAAACTTATTATGTATACTGTACAGTTTACGAATATTTCACTTGAGTGAGCTTAAATAAGCTTAAGTAAACTTTTTTATTCATTAATCAAATTTGACGTAACACGTTAAGTACGTGGCGTGGTAAGTACATATACGCTATACATAACGATTTTATGATATGAATAAATTACTTACTATAATATTTATAAAATTGCTTTAAAATTCAGTTAAAGAAAATAGATTAGGTATACATATAATCTGTTGTATTTCAACTTATTTGTAATAAGAATATTTGTATCGACATGCAGAGAGAGGAGTATTAAGAAAGTTATTTAAAATTTAAAAAAAATTACTATGGATAATTATATACCTGAAAATTACCATCTATATATTAAAATATACATATATGTATTCAAAAATTTGTCATGCCTATAAATAATTGAAAAACACTTAAAATATTTTGAAAATTTTATTATAAATGAAAATTATAATAATTTAAATACTTAGTTAAAATTTCAAGTATCCTTGTTATTATTATTATTTTTTTTAAATATAATGAAATATAAAAAATTGTTTGAAGATAAATAATTATTTTACTGATGATTATCCAATGTCGTAAAAATTTGAACTTGAAATGCTCATAAAAATAATATGACTTTCTAGTACAATTTTGTTCTATACATACAGGTTGAAATACTCATTAAGAATCTTGTATTAAATTTTCAAATTTTAGGTTCAAAAAAACATTTTTTATAAATATCTAATTATACAAATAATTTATACACTTTTGAGATTTCAATTTATTTTATAAAAACCCTAAGTTTAAAAATATATAAAAATCAATTATTGTAACTATAGATTTTTGATATATTTTAATTGAGAAATAATAAATATATTATAAGGAGCTTTGTATTAAATTTTCAAGCATTTCAACCCAAAAAATAATTTGCTTAAAAATATTTGACGGTTATAGAAGATAGTTGAAATAACATTTTTACCGTTAATAGAATTAAAACAATTTGATGAAAATGTCAAGTATCTACAAAAATCTATTTTTGAGTTATACCAAAAAACAAACAAAATAAATTTTGTTGAAAATTGGATTTGCGTGAAAATTCTCGTTTTTTCTTATTTTTGTTTATTTTTCTTGATTATAAAAATAAGTACTAAACATTTTTAATTTCTATCATTAACTAGTAACTACCAACTAGATCCAATTTTCTACCAAAAACCACTCCCATTATTGAAAACCGAAGTATTTTTACTAAAAGGTAATGTCAGATAAAATAAATAAATAAATAAATAAAAACACACATTATTATAAAATCAATACATGCGTATATTTGTTGCTTTGCTTAGAATTTAAAATAGGTATTCTTTATATTATATACCCTATATCTTAACCTATTGGCTAGTGATTAGTTACATAATTTAGATTACAATTTAAAACTGTAATAAATAATTATTATGTTAATAAAGTATAATTTATAGGTATATACTATAATTTTATAATCTATTAATAATAACTCAAATCGCCAATAATTAAAGGATTTATATATTTTTATATCTAAATCGCGTATATCATTTATTGTATATTTGTGCCGGATTTAATGCAATGTTGTGCATATTATAAGATAACAGGTATTACACTATGCCCTTTAAAATTTGAATAAATTATTCAACATTCACAAATAAACTGTTTACGACTTCTTACTAAATCTAATAACCTCGAAATCTTGACGAATCATATTTATAAAAAATAAAATTTTGATAAATTTAAATTTAATATTAAAACACTGTATGAATTCAATTAACTATTCAGAATGTATAAATTATATATATAATGCTTAGGGTACATATTAAAATGAACTGTGTTACATAAAATGAATGAATGATATTTTTACCAGGTAATTTTGACTTTTGAGTAAATAGGAAATTTTACTTGAACTTATCGTATTAATAGACTTTAATTAAAAGGACAATAATGGATAAAATAGTTTAAATACTCAACAATGTTTTTTTCTTTAGAGAATAAAATTATGTTTGTTGATCTTCACGATTATACTACCATTAATAAATTATGTATAAGTATATTAATAATATTTAACTATCTAAAATAATATAGTATTCAAAAATAAACTGTAAATATAGTTCGTATAGGTATGTAGTAAAGTTTCGTTGTAAATTAATTGAAACATCTGAAATGAATGATGAATAATTATGATATTTACACGTAAGTTATAGCACCAAACTGAGAATATCTTTAATTGCGATGGTTGCTTGTAGTAAAAAAAAATTTCATAAATACCAGACGGCTTGTAAAACCTTTTTGTAGTTTTGAAAACACGTGGTGGTCAGGTGTTGGGACATAATGAAGGTATTTTTTGTACCCGAGCCGATTGTACAGTTTTGAGTACCCGTGGAATTGTCACCCGCACTTTCACCTTCGAAATATTTTATGTAATATACCGCCGTCTACCACCAAGTGACAGTTCTAAAACCAGCTATAAACATTTAAATTATTATTTTTAATTAATCTACACCACCGTTTTTTGTGGTTTATTTAGGTACGCTTTCAAAGATTCAACAAATTTTCAATAAGTATTTCTGTATAAATACTATTATGTATATTAATACAAATATTAATATATTAAGTTGTGTGATGTGTAGATTTACATTTATGAAAAATATGCAACAATAAAATACATAATACACAAATTATGTTAAATAAACGATGCTTGTGTTTATAATTTTTCTAAATTAAATAATACCGTTGAATTAAATATACTTCGTCGATATATATTATTGATGATTCATATTATAATTAAATCTAAAATAAAAATTTTAACAGAAAAAAATCTATGGAATTCCGACGTTTTTAGTTTTTAAAATTATTTTCAATTTCAATATACCAGTGGCGTGTAAGTATTCACGTTTTAATATATTTTCAAGTTGACCGTCATCGAATAACCTGTTTTATTGTTTTTTTTTCGACAATAATTTTTTGATCTAAATTATTATGAGGGTAGTGGGGGTAAAGGGACCATTGCTGATTTGCTGAAAAACCATTAAACTGAACAAAAATAAATTAAAACTCGTGTATACTGCAACGGACATAAAACCTTATCGTCTTGGGTGTACAGTATGCACCTGTACGGCTATATGTGTATTATATATATATATATAATACACGTGCTCCTGAGACGGCGAACCTCGCGGGTCGGGGTAGTTTTTATTCGGTTACAGGTACATAGGTACTGTAAACACTATGCACTAACACACACAACTATAATAAAACATTATAACCTATATAATGGCGTGGGAAGGAGCCGAGTCTGGGAGCATTGCCGCCACAGAAAGGAAAGAGGATTAGGAGGGAGGTATTCACGGCGAGGTACACGAAATCCCATTTATTTAGAATTTTTGTGGTTGGCTGGGTTAGGATTTTGGGTGGTGATGCAGGAGTAATATATAGTAATAATCGGTGGGCGATAGTAGAAAAATGTTCGTTTCTCGGGCCCTGAGTCTGAAAATATTTAAGTTCGCGACCGCCACTGCTGGAGAATAATAATATAAACCCACACCCGATATCACTGCCATACACCACTTGGAACACACAATATATTTTAATATTATTATGAATATTACTGCAGCGGTGTTGAGCACAAAAACGAATATCATTATAATTCTACAAAAAAAAAAAAAAAAGAACAGCCGTCGGGCAATCTGGTCGTGTGGCTGTGGCCTGCTACAGTGCTACGACCTACGACGACGGAGAGTCGATGGCTGTGCGGACGACGCGGGAACGGTGGGGAGAAAAGGCGCTCTGCCGCCGCCGATTGAGAGATCAATACACCCTGGGCGCGGCGGCGGGGCGAGTGGGCTACACGCACCAACAACTACTATACTACCTATACTACAACGACTGGTGTGACCGCGAGCCGGTCTTCGACCGAGGTAACCGCGGTCCCGTGCAACGTCACGGATGTTACAAGCGTCCCGCACTTGCAACGTCACCGACATCGTGTCGGCCGATTGATGTTTTCGTTCGGCATTCCTGTCTGCCACTGTCCTTGTCCAACTACTAAATATAGCGCGTACGCGGATCCGTGCTTGCCGCCGTATCTCGTCCGTACAATGCACGCGTATTATCGTTTCATCTCCGTCTGATCACCCCCGGCCACCACCGCCGCCGCCACCATGTTTCGTGTGTATTATTGTTTTGGTTTTTTTTTCTCAAACATTTTTTCCACATTATTATTATAACTATTATTATTATTTTTATTATTATCATTATTTCTATTATTATTATTATTATTATGTCGCCTCCCACCAAACCGCTCGCTCATCATCGCAACTGAAGACGACGACGGCGTTTTACGTTTTTCGCGATTTACGAAATCCTTACTATCAACGTTTTCGGACGCACAGAATCCGGCCGCCGCCACTGCCGTATTATTATTATTAATATCGTCTTCTTCGCGGTCGAACAACACGTCCGGCACGGCCATTGTGGCTGTCGAGTACTCACCGTTCGCCTTTTTTATTACATTTTCATTTTGTTTTTTTTTTTACTCCTCGTCGCCGAGTATATCCGTGCGTGCATGTGTGCGACAGTATACGTGAGTGTGTGTGCGTGTTCGTGCGCGCGCGTCGTCTTGCACACACATAATATGTATATATACAATTTATAATACATATGTGTATAAATAATAATAGTTTATATACATAGAGAGAGATACGTGTATGTGTAGTGTGTACGGTGTATATGTATTATAATAATAATAATTTACGTATCGTACGTTTATACGCTTTATATACAACATTAATACATTCGAAACGTAAACGGAAATAATTGCCGGCCGATGGCTGCGTAGGCAGAACAGCGAGTGTCAGCAGCAGCATACTTCGATCCTCAGCCAGTGTAAAAAGAAGAACTGAGTCGTCCGTCAAAATTTCCGTGAGTTATGTAAATGTAGAAATACGATCTCGCAAAAGGCAGGTTCTTTTTACACCTACGTTTCCGTACTCATTTGTGGCGTAGGTATTCAAGTTTTGTTAATTTTTGTAATTAAATCGCCCAATCTATCCGAGTTCTCACTCCGATGGACACAATTTGAAAATAGATGATTGATTATATTTTATATCTGTGTGGCTATGTACTTGCACAATTATCATGTCGCGAGATATTGTGTAAGTATATGTTTTGCATCGGTTGGTTTTGACTATTACTAATTACTATTTGGTTGATTTTTATTTTATTTTATATTCAGGTTTTTAGACTGCAGTCATCGCTGTGATGCATTCAATACTCTGAGTTCGATCTATTAGCAATGAGCCACAACATGGGTGGCATGGCCCCTTACGTCACGTAAGTTGCTCTTTATTATTGAACATCTGTTCGTCTACTCTCGACTCTTGTGCATCTGTGTACAAACTTGTAATATTCATGTTGGTATGTTTCATATAGGTTACCAAGAGGCCGTAATCAAATGGCGTATTATAACCAATGTCAAGACATGCCGCCTCATATGCAAAGAGGCCATTGTTATCCAGACGATTTCAATAAAATGGGTGGACCCTGCTCGTATGTATTGTTTTTTTTATTTTATGAAAAACAGTTAAAAATATTATTTTGTGTATTGTTAATTTTTATTATCCTGTACAATAGACAACAGTATATTATAATCAAAATGTATATGCTAGTACTTAAAATAATAAAATTAACTTATAAATAAATTATTTTAATCACACTTATTTTCTTTTAATACTATTCTATAATCCTTAATAATTTTGCTATCATTTATAGGTATATTCAATTAAAAATGTTTTAACATTAATTAATTACCCTATTGCTTCCCAAAATACAACTCTTGTATATTAATATTACTATTCTATTAGTTATATTTATATCATATAATTTAATAAAAATACCTTCGGTATACCTAATTTAGAAATAAACCCTATAACTAATAAGTTACTGTTAATAAAATATTATTATCAATCATAATAATATAATATTATATAATTATTTACTATAAAATGCCTGGATAAATGTAATATCAAATTATTAAATACACATTAAATTATATTTACATTTAATTTTTTATTTAAATTTTGTTTAATTTTTTTTCTTAACTAGGTATTTTGGAATAAAGATACCTAATTACTAATTTTTAAATTACTATTATTTTATCATATTTATTTAAATTGATAACAAGTGTTAAAAATTACATCATTTTTTGTGGAAGCTTTATAAAGTAAATTTACTATCAAAATTGAAATATTTATAAAATGTTATAAGGTACTTGCAATTATAAATTTAAAATTTAAACTATTAAACTGATTGGTAATAAAAAAAATAGGTATTAAAAATTGTTTAATATGTGCTATTATTTATTTTAAATTTTTTAAGTTTGTTCTATTAGTTAAATATAAACAACTTTAAAATAAATTATAAATGGTGTTATCTCATCTTGCCTCATCTAATCAAAAGTTATAGTGTTTAACATAAAAAATTATTTATTCTTATTTCATTAAAAATTCTCCAAAACTAAAAAACAAAAAACTTTTGTCAATTATAATTTAAAATGTTTTTAAATTTTTAATAAAATCTGCCCATTATTATATATGTTTTAAGTGTCTTCTATTGTTAAAAGTTAAGACAAGTAAAATTTCATTCGGTACTGAATAATACATTAAAAGCTAGTACCTTGTGAGTTGTAATCAATCATATAAATTTCCATATTTTATATCAATAATCTAATTATGTATATAAAGGAAATAAAAACATATTCATTTAATCAGTATCTAGTAGAAAAGTAAATATTTGAACTGTTTTAAAATTGTAATCTATATTTATCTATTTTAATTTTTTAGTATGTTGCCTATGGGCAATGAGTTTAAATCACCAATGATGACTCCAGATCCACCTCCACCTCCTCCAGCTAAAAAGAAGCGACGTACTTCTAATGCTGCTACTGTGACAAATCATGCACCTCAACCACCACCACCATCACCTCAAGATTTACTTCCACCACCTTTAACTGGTAAAATAGAATAAACATATTTTAGCAATATTTAAATTATAGTGAGAGTTACAATATTTATTCCCCCCAACATTAGGTATTTATTATGCTGACTTTCAACTAATGAACAAAAACAATATTTTTTTCAATAAGGGTAATTTTTTTATGGATGTTTGAAGAGAAATTTACGTATGGAAACTAGACATGGAACATATGGGAAAAATATGTAAGGAGTGAAGGCATATACACATGTAATTTACCTAATACACTCATTAGAATATATTCCCATTAGACTCATACCTTTACATACTTCATATTAGACATTTAAACCAAAAAAAAAAAAAAAAAAATGAATTATAACGTTAGGTAGAATTAATTTATAATGATATAATAAAAGAAATATATACACCTTAAACATAAGCGTGTGCAGCCTCTAGTTTTAGGGGCAGCAAGAGATTAATTTGGCTCATTCTTCGAATTCACTATTAAAACCAGCCCATAGTTTTACTTTTTTTTACTATTTGATATCAAAATTAAAATTGTATTGGTTATTTTTAAAAATGTGTACAGTAAGGCACTAAGCCACTAAGGGTATCTTTTTCACAAGTGTTGTGACCTATTGATGTATGATGCACTAGACAATAACATTAAAAACCTATTTTTTTCAGATTTCTTGATCATAAATATTAATATTCACAATTTAAAATTATGGCTATTTTTTTATAGTAGACAGACCTATTAGTTTTATACTAGTAAATTTTATAATCATAAAATATTAATCTATACTTTACTAAATAAAATAAATTTTTTTTATAATTTTCTTATCTATGATGTATATCATTTTTGAAAATATGATTTTACCGAAGCTCATTATCCAAAATTTACTGGCTGCAGTAGCCTCAAAGAGAGTCTAGGAGCAGCATATGCTATCTCTGCTAACCTGTGTGCACGCCTATGGCCTTAAAATATACATAGAATTCTTTTATCTTTTTGAAAAGCTATTTAATTGATATCATATATGTATTCCCAGATCCCTTTCCTTATAATTTGTTTCATGCAATAAATGTTTTGTTAAATCAATAAATCTACTAAGAATAATATACTTACAAAATCATGATTGTAATTAATCCCTCCATACAATTTCGATTGAACATAAAGAAACGTATATTATTCCCAATTTTTTAAAGTTTTGTATAGTATTTTACGTTTATGAATAATCAAATAATATTTAATACAATCTCAATTAAAAATGAATCATATAAATCTTTATTACTTAATACTTATTTAGTATAATATTTTTATTCCAAACAAATAATAAAAAAATTTAAAAATCTTCTCAAAAATAATTATTAAGTTAAAACTGTAAATAATAGTTAATTTTATTATTGATAAAATCAATTAAAAATAATTTATCTACAAGGTGTAAATCTATATTAAATAATATTCTTGGATTAAGATATAAGACTGGTAATAAATTAATGTAGTAGAATGTTTGTGATTTGTGAATAGTTTATAAAATATCTTACACTTCAAGGCATTCAATTTAAATAATTTTATTTACAAATTTTTGTTAATGTAACAATAGTTTTCTATCATTTTTCTCAATTTTTTTTTTTATTGTTTACCTGTTAATCAGAATTTTCTTGCTATTTTAGATCTTAAGAATTTATTTTGTGATTTATATAGTAGTATTTATGAGTATATGAGAAAATCTCACCTGTTCTACGATATTGTTAAGTTTATTTTCTTATTGGGTTTTGAATTGATAACTTTTTAAATATTTATTAAACGATTAAAAATTTAAAAATAAAACTGTACTGCTGTATATCAGATAAAAGTATTAATTTATATGTGACATGGTCACATAGTTTAGTAGGTCACTTATAATTGTTAATTAATTGTACATTGTAGTTATGTAACAAATAAATATCAAAAATTTATCTAATTTATCAAGAACATATCAATAAGCATACATGTGATTATAGATATATCACAATTATAATTTAATAAAGTTTTACTGTATGAAAACCTGTTTTAACTGTAGATAACAATGTTCAACTAATATTATACCATCAAGAATATGCATTAATATATGAAATATGCTATTATATTCTTATAATAATGAATAATAAATCTTAGATTTCTATACATATTTAAAGAAATAAAAAATCTTCATACCATATTAAAATCAAAGGTTTAAACCCAGTTACAACAATTCTAATTATTTATTTTTAATGCAAAAAAATACATGAATTAAACTTAAGTGCTTCTACCTGTAATAAAGATTCATAATTTTATCTCAAAAATAAATAAAAAATTATATCAAAATTCTATATATTTTTAATTTCTTTTATTAGCAATTTAAAATACCACAGTTATTAAAATGTATTACTTATTAGTATACCACTGATAAATTGGAAATATCCAAAAAATAACTTAAATTAAAATTTAAATATTATTAAATGTTGTTTAATGGTAACAATGTATACATATTACATTTAGTAGTTATTAGTATATTGTATTTTAGGTACTTCTTGAAATACTGTAAACGAAATTGTTCACCTCTAGATATCTTATTTATGTTTAAAGTAAAATGGAAAACTATTACGCTTACTCAATAACTAATTTATGTCGATGTTTGAGTATCCTGTACTTAAGTGAATTATTAAGCTATTATCATCCTATTTCCTATTGTTTATTTTAGTAAATTTAAATAACACATTGTAGATAATAATATATTATAAATTATTATATTAAATTCATATCAATAACATGGATATTAATTTTTTTAGGTTATGGAGATACTATAGTTGCTTCAAACCCTTTTGATGACACGCCGCCACCACAAGTAATGAACACAAATCATATGAACAGACAAATGATGAATTCTCGACCCATGATGTCTGGTAGTCCTTGCCACCAAATGGGTGGTTCACCTATGAATTGTGGTCCACCTATGGGAAGCCCAATGGGTGGACCGTGTGGTAGTAGTCCACATAGAAACCCAATGGTATGTGGACCCCCTATGATGAGTTGTGGTGCTCCAGGCAATAGTCCACATGCCTTATCTATGAATCGAAGTCCTTCTGCCATGGGTAGTCCACATATGGTGCCAAATATGCGTGGCAACAGCCCTATGGAATGTGCTGCCATGGTAAAACCGTCTTTAAATTGTGCTTCGCCTATGGGTAGTCCCATACCTCAAAATACCAATATGAACATTCATCCACCAATGTCTAGTCCCATGACAATGGGTCCTTCACCACTTAACGGTCATCCTAACTCAGGCCCTGGCGGCAGTCCCATGATGATGGGTCGAGGAGGCCCTTCACCTTTAACAAATAGTCCAATGTCAATGAATATGCCAGTAAGTTCAGCAGACATGAATGATATGAGTCCACATATGTCAGTAGACAATAATGGATGTCCAGTACGTGGTCCTCCATGTCCAGGGTCCAACAACATGACATCTGTTTCCATGGCTTGTAGGCAACCAATGTCAAATCAGCAGTGCAATAGTATGCCTGGACCTAGTAATATGATGAACTGTCCAAGAGGTATGCCCTGTCCCCAGATGATGCGGGGTCCACCTCAACCTTCTGAACAACATAGACTTATGTCCCCTATGATGCATCATTCACAAATACCCAATAGTCAACAACCAGGTGGATATGGGCCTGGACCTAATTCTAAACCAATGCCAGTGTCAGCTGGAAAGGTACAATAAAATATAACAATTATTTAAAAAATTTAGTTGTTTAGAATCTGGTGCATAATAATTTTTAATGTTAAACTTTCAGATATACCCTCATGATCAACCAATGGTGTTTAATCCACAAAATCCAAATGCCCCACCAATTTATCCTTGTGGTAACTGTCATAAAGAAGTGCATGATAATGATCAAGCAGTTCTATGTGAATCTGGTTGTAATTTTTGGTTTCATAGGTAATTATTAAATATATTTATTATAATTCTATGCAACAGTTATGTACAACAAGATTTTGTTAACTAAAAATATTTATTTTAATATATTGATATTGTTTTTAATATTAAATTATAAACAATATTGATCCCATGATATTGAAAAAAAATGTTTTTGAACAGATTTTTTAGACTTATAATTGCTCTTTATTATAATTACAACTTTCAGAAGGTTTTGATTTTAATTCTTAAAAATGTGTCTAAATAACATTTAATGAATTAGATTTTTTAAATATGGCATTTTTGTAATTTTGTCTCTAGATTAAAATCAATTTAACTATACATCTTATTAGGTATTCACACACAACATTAAACTTGTATTTTATTCAATATTGTACCATGTCCATTTACCTTATAACCAAAATGTTTTAATAAACTATTACAACCTCCTAGTAATGTTAGTATTTTAAAATCATTTATAATTTAAGTAATTAAGAAAATTAATAATATGGTTATACTGGTTATGAAAAACAACTTGTTGAAAATTATAGAAACAAAACCAAGTTATAAAAATTTTGTTATAACTTATTATGCTATACATTCATTTATGCGCTATGTAAAATGTATTGATTTTATTGTGTTTCACTCTTATTGTTTAGGTATTTATATACTAAATTAAATCGTTTATATGATATTAATGTAATGTAAATATTTTCAGGGTTTGTACAGGTTTGATGGAACCTGCATTCCAGCTACTTACAGCCGAAGTATACGCTGAGTGGGTGTGTGACAAATGTTTACAAACAAAAAATATACCTTTGGTAAAATACAAACCCTAACGAATACATTTAACATCTCTCAACCCTAAATGACTTTAGCTTTCATGCACTGAATGTTACAATATTTACTGTGCTTCAAACCATCAGTGGATTAAGTACTTAATCTCAGTTATGAGCATTAACACAATTTCAAATATTTATTATTCATGTATGGGTTATAATTTATATGAAATCAATCAAAAATAATTATTTTTGAGTTATTGTCAGTCTTATAATTTTTGTTTTATATTTATGTGTATATTTATTTATACATGTGTGCATAATATATATTACATATATTTTTTTATTGAGTTACGACTGAGGTTCAAAATGATAATGTGTAGCGTTTAAAAATTCCTCCTTTGTACTCATCAGTATTTCAACTACTTGCATACATTGAGCGTTTTGCCATTTGATTTTTGTTTGGCATTTAAAAATCTAAAGTTCCTTCGAATATACAACAAATTGGGCCTTTTCCTTTTCAATCTACTAATGCATTGTCTTATTGCAACTTTTTTCTTCTTTATTATTTTACTTTTATTACTTTTTTCACAACTGAATTGTTTTTATATAATGCAGAATGCTCTTAATTATGTCATGATTTATTATATATTTGTGTATATCTATTGTCATTGATTATAAATACTAGTGTTTATAATCAATGATATAATAAAGAAACATTTTTTTTTTTTTTTTTTTAGAAAATAATTTAACACAATCAATATGTTTGTATATAGTTAGTTCAATTAAAAAATATATTAAAAATCGAAAAACTTATGAACTTGAGATTGTAAGTTCTAAGTGTTACATGTAACTAAATAAAGTAAAATTAAAAATTTGTATTAATTTTTGCATTTTTATAATTCACGCTATTTTGCAAATTGTTCAATGAAATCTAGAGTAAATAGCAAAACAAATGGTTTGTCTTTTTTTTTTTTGATTATTTCATCAAGTTCTAAGTGACCATTTATTATTATATTTCAATGAATTATATTGAGTGGTGTATTTTGAAAAAGTTGAAGTATAATTTTATACTATTATATTGTTTTCAATCACATTTTATGACTAGTTAAATCATAATTAATGTAATAAAACAATCAGTATTTATCAATACATTAAAACCAAAATTTAATAATATCAGAATAATATGTTCTAAGTCTAAAATCAGATCTCAATCATAATCAATAGCAATTACTCTTGGATGAGATAGAAACGGACTTAATATTTTTATCTACTTAAAATAAACAAATATTTTTTTCAAGATCAAAAAAGGGTTTAATACTAGTCATTGCTGTATCAGAAAGTGTATGTAGCCTTTGTTAGCTCATAAATATGCAATCCATCTATTTTCCGAATTGCCTGTTGACACAATCCATATCTGAAGATTGGTATTAATAAAATATTTTACAATATAAATTATAATTCATGTAGCTAGTGTTTTTAATGTTTGCTTAGGATTGATACATTGAAATAACTTAGTTAAATATTGTTTAGTTTTTAGCGTTTGATAAATATTTTGAAGAAGCTGAAAATATACATTAAATAAAACTATGGTCATATTATACCATCAACATAAACTTTCTTGTTATGCATAAATGTATAATACACATCTATTGAATAATTTACATTTAAATAAATCAAAATTATATAACACAGGAGTTTCACTATTTACAAAATATTGAATTCTTTAAATATCTTCCTTTTTATCTAACACTTGCTTTTTTATTATTATACATTTATTCCTTTTTTTCTTTTATGTAGTATAAATTGTTTTTTAAAAATAATTTCATGATATATGATATAAAATATTTGTATACAAATTGAGTCATTGGTTGTAATTTATAATAATATATTTTATTTACTTCAATTAAATTAAAACAAAATCATAAATGTTTCATGAGAAATCAAAACAGCAGTAAATGAATAAATAATATCAATATATTAAACTTAATAAATTATTAATCAAAGTTATATAAAATAATCACAATAAGTTCACCTCTTCCAAAACAAATTATTACTTGTTCTACAATACCAATATTTTGAACATATTAGTAATTTTTGGTTTTGGTAAAATATTTCATCACATTTAATCATTGTACCAATCTAAAAATAGTAAGGTAAATGAAAGTACTAATATAAAAAATAATATATATACTCTAAGACCAGCATTGGTTTGTATAGCTGATCTGATTTCAGTATTAGCATCAACAATGTTCTCAGTGGTATTCACTGCAATTGTGTCAATTCTCTCAAGATCCTGATCTTGTTCCAGTATTTTTTCAGTAAACAATTCTTGCAATTCAGCAATTCGTACAGCCTTAGACTCTATATTTCTTACCTAAAAAAAAGACAGCAAATGAAATAATCTAATTCCTTAATATCCCTTTAATGATAGTGTTAATTTTTGTTTTGATATGTTTTACAACTAGTCTGCACAAATGTGTGTGTAAATCTATACTACATTCAGTTCTGCCTGATAAATTGATTTTAGAAGAAGGTATCTCAACACATGTACACAAATATGTGGTTAGTTTCATAAAATTATGTAAACTAAATTAATTTAATTAGCACGTATAAACCTTAACCATACGAGTATATGACTGTGTACATCAATCCTTATCTATACAAAAAAAAAACAATTTGTTTGAAATTTATTTTATAACTATTTCAATTTGTTTCCTTTGCATCTAGGTTCATAGGAGGTTAACAGAAAACCTATACATTTTTATAGATTTGTTTTAAAACTGATCAATGTATGATTATATATTCGTTTTTAAGCACACATAGTTAATTTATACAAATGCATAGATTTTTCGTGAAAGGGGTATAGTACTTACTTCATTTGATAATTGATTTAATTCGTTGTACATTTCTATATTTTCGGCTTCAAACATTTGCAATTCTTCTGGTGATAATTCATCATCTTGTTGAGCGGCATATTGTCGATCAGCTGCTTCATAATCAACAAAGTTTGCGTTATTGGTTTCTTTTGGGGGTTCAAAACCGTGAGTCAAGTTGCTCAACTTTGAAACATTTTCATACTCTAGACACCTTTGCGCTCGTGTTGCTTTAATCTCGGCAAACAATTTGGTGACAGATTTTTGCCGCCATTCAACATAACGTATGATCTGCCGTCTATGATCATCGATTTGACTACCATCACCGGTCAAACTCTTTTTTAGCAGGACCAACTGTTGACTGCATGTTTTGATAATATGCTGAGCACCGATGTCGATTTTGTCACGGTCTGCGTCCGTTAACGAAGTTTGCTGGTTAAAAGCCTGGACATCGATATAGTCCTTAAAGTGACGGTTCAAAAAGTCTGTCAACTTGATTAGATCGTTGACAATTTCTTTGGCCCTACGAGAAAATTCGTCTCTACGTGGTTTACGCTGCTTCAGAATATCCACTTGTGGCGGTGCTGGGGACCCGAATGCTCTGTTTCTCGTTTTGATGGTTTTAACGTATGCTTTGAATACGGCGGTTTTATCCATTTTAACTACAGAATCATTATAAAATATGGTTACACTAAAAAAGTATGACGACGAGTTTTTTTTTTGAAAATTCCCCGCTATCATAATTTATTATAGTGCTATCTTAAATTATGTTGTCGTGTGATTATCGGCGTGATAGCAAATAGCGATATCTAATGTCGTGGATTTAAAAAGTATTAGTAACCATGGTTGTGGTCGTAACTCATATACTTGCAAGTAGTGATGTGGAATATCCCGCCATTTTTTCTTTCAAATCTCATGGACGTAATACTACAAAATACCCAAGTATATTTCATAGAACTTAATACCTTATACTCAGTCGTAGGTCTATGGTATATTTAGTATAATTATTATAGTCCATGATCAGTTTTATTAGTTATTTTATTCCAGTTGTAAATGAAAAAATAATTACTCGATGTACTCTATTTTTCTTTGCTTATAATTTTTCATATCGATTAACTATGTTCGTATCGATATATTTTGTAAAAGACAATTACTGCAGAATATACTTCGATCACTCCAATCTCAGCCATTCTTTATCTTCTTTATTTAACACTACTAGATTTAATGTATATATCTAGTAGATATTTGTTGTATCGTTTTTAAAATCATAATAAACCCGTAGTTATCCATCAAAATAAATTAAATCAAATTCAATTTTATATTATGAAATAGAATATTATAATTAAACTACATAATTGATTCGGTGATGTCAATATTTGATTATAATATATAACGTATAAGCCATTGTCGTACGGTAACAGGATATTATATTTATTAAGTATGTGTATTATTCTCTGCCACTTAACCCATATAAAATGTAGTGGTATAGAAAATGTTGATTCGTGTTTTCAAAGTGAAGTGTTTATAATTTATTTATTTATTTGTGCGTTGTTAATGGCTTGCAAAATACAAATAGTGAAACAGATAATGTATGGTTTTCTACTTAAAAATATTTGAAATAAGTTTATTCCAAGGTTAGGTAAGTAATAAGTATATTTGTTATTTTATATAATTTTATTATTTATAGTAGGTACTTATTATTATTCTGTGTTTAAACTTCAAATGCAAAAAAAAAAAAACAATTAAATGCAATTCTAGATAGGTACCTATATTATATTTTTAATCGAATTTTGTCTTTGTCGACAATCGATAATACAATTATAAGCAACAATCTAAAAACAATTTCTTCGAAAATAATAACCAAACTATTATCAACGTATCAAAAAATATTAATAACCTATGAAATGTTAATCAAACGAATAGCATCGGTAAAATGTATCCAAAGTTTAAAATCATTTGTAATGATTTATGAGAAATATGAAAAATTTCTGTGATATCCTCATTCCTCAATATATCATAATTGTATGTTAGAGGCTTTTTAATAAAAAAATCCCTAATATACCATAATTATTATACACTAGTGTAACTTAAACAAGTTTCGATCCAACTTCATTATTTTTTATAAGTTAAAATATATTTACTATTTAGATTCGAATTAATTACTTATAAATAAGTGATACTCAATTGTTTATCAATATCATTCCAATATATGAATATAGATTTTAACATAGTATATTTTTGGTAGGCTTTCTTTGTACTTACAAACAATTGAATTCCTAGTAAAATAAGTTTTTTATGCTGTATTGTACTATTATATCTTCAACAATATTTATTTAAAAATTTTAATACGCATTTGTTATGATTCTATTAAAAAAAAAAAAAACTATGGCAAATTGTCTTAAAATAATATAAAGTATAACACAATGTTAACTTGTATAACCATAATAAACGAATTATGTTACCAGTAAATCATAGGTTGTTAAGATAACCGATAAGTATTTGCTTAATTAAATTATTTAAAACATTGTTCTGTCATGATGACCAAGTATGGTAAAATTTGTTTTAAAATGAAAAAAAAACTTTTCTTTAATGGAAGTGTTTAGTATATTTCTAAGTCCGACGAATATAAATTAATAATTGTATTCACGTGCTAACAACCTATACAGGATGTAACTTTGCGGTCACCCTTGCTGCACACATGACCATATGTTCCTGATGTGTCATTTTGATTGGTAATTTTCAACGGTTTTTATTTTCCGGTATCCTACATATGTGTATGAAAATTGCCTACAATAAACGCCTAAATCCTATCAGTTATTAATATTATATCGGTTAACAATGAAATAGCATATTCTATAATCGAGGTTACAAAACACATTAATAAAAAATGATCACAGATAAGAAATTTAATTACATATTATAACACATAATATTTAGCATTATAGTTAATAAGTTAATTATTATTTATATGGGATTAAATATTTGCATTAAAATTAATATTAAAAATTAAAATATATTCATGAAAAAACTATTCAATATAATTTAATTTATTTATTGGATCTTAGTTATTTTGTATTGTACACTATAAAAATTAATAATCACTTAATTCTAAAATCATAAATTTGATTAAAAATTTAATTTGAAAAGAAAACCATAATTAAAAAAAAAAATAAACTACTTAAATGATTTTGAAAAAACTACCAGTTGATTATTTTAATATGTTATAAATATTTTTGAAATCTAAATATTATTTAATTTAAAGTAAGCCGAAAAGGATAAAGAGGTTAGATGTTGCCAATTAAACTCTATATTTTGTATTTATTTACTTTTTTTTAAAGTAATTTTACAGTTATTACTTATTATTAATGTATGGTATTATATTGATACATATTTTGTGAATAACAAATACATTATTTAACAGTGCCTATAATTTATATGGTTAGCTTATTCCACAATGTCTATATTTTTTATGTTATTATTTTTTTATCTCGTGTTTTTTAAATAAAATATTCAAAAAGTTTTATCATAGTATATAATATACTAGTATAAGTTCTATGGTTATTATTTATTATAGTTTCATAAAATATTCATAAAACATCAAAATAGATACAATTATATAATAATATATTGTTGTAAATAGTTAAATAAAAAACTTACAGCATAAAGATATTTTATAAATACAATTATTCAATTCTACAAAAAATACTAATTACTATTCTAATTACTTTTACATTTTCGTGATTAGGTGGTTCGATATATTCGTTGTATTCTATAGAATTTATTGCTTAAATATGTACCTTTATTGTATATCATGGGCTGAGTAGTTAAATATATAATAATAATACTGGTTGCGTAAATATAGTATCTATTTATGTAAAAATACCTAACCAACCATCATGATATTCAGCATTTTGAAAAAATGATTACTTATTAGTATAAATTAATTTTGATATGTTAAAAACTCAATGCATAATTAACTCGAGAATAATTTTTAGTATAAAAATAATCTAAAGAAGGATAATTGGAAAAATATATTATATTAAATAGAAAAATAATAAATAAGAATTTTTAACATCCAAATTCTGTGAAAAAGCCTAATCAGTTTTCTATTTATTTATTAAAAAAATAAAAATTAAGTAAAAATTAAACATTTAGGAAATAGTAAAACATTTTATTTTATACTTAAATCATTGTTATTATTTCAAAATTTATTTTTAAAATCATTATGACTAGTTAATTCTTTACAATTAAACCGATCAATTCAATTATGTTTTCATTAATTTATATTCAACTATATTTTTTTTAAGTTACCTTTGTCGTTTGAATATAGTTGTAGACACGGGAGTTTTTTTGCCTTGCATTTTATACTGTTATATAAAACTAGAGTCCACATGTTCATGTTTAAGTTCTAACAACTTATTTTGATTAATTTAAAAATTATGCTTCGATGCGTCAATGCTAAATGTCTATTATATTTATAATTAATAGGTACCATGCAAAAAAATTAGAGAAAAAAAATCATAGTATTTTCACTATAAAAGTAAAATGATATTCTGATGTCAGTATTATATGCAATAATAACATAATGCATTTAAAATAATTGTAAGATGTCTCACGATACTAACAAAATCTGTTTAGTCGTCTCCCATAATTCCACACACGGGAAAGAACACCCTTACTGGGAATCATGAGAAATGTGTGTGATGGTATTCGACGGAAACAGGGCAGCCAGGATGGCCGGTGAATGTCCGGATGTGGTTTCCGTATGACACGCGATATTGTTTTCCGGCGTTCATATCTGTGTATCGGTGAAAAATCGGTCAGACCTGTTTCTTTAGTTGAATTCGTTTTTGTTTAAATACAATTTTTTTTTTATACAAAATCTTATCATAGTTTACGTTTAAGACGAATAAAACTTAAGTCTTATTCAAATACTAATTTACAGTAGACAGTATATCTTACATATTAATGTAAAATCTCCACGAAAAGTCAATTCATCTAAAACTATTTAGAATTTATAGCTGATTAAATCGAAGTACAATAACTTTAATTGTGTGTAAAAATCAACAGTTGGCAACCCCGAGGGTTGTTTTAACGGTATATAGGCGTATGGCAACTGCCTTAAAGGTTGAGCATGTGTTTAGTTCGACTTGGTGGTAGGTACCATTATTATAACAGAAAAATATATAATATTGAGAGAATGAAAATATTTATGTTTTCAATTATTAATTTACTAATTTTATTATTGCTGGTCAAGCTATAATCAATATTTTTTTTTTTTATTAGAATGAAAATCATTTATAGCTTACACTTGACACTTACTTTTGTACATAAAATTGTGAAAACTTTACATCATATTGAAACATAGAAATAAATGCTTATATTTAAATACCACGAAAAATGAAGCACATTCTATTAAACTCACAGAATAAACTAATTGAATAGCAAATAGTAAATATTTATAGCTATATTCAATTTATTTGATCTTATCGAAAATTTTAATTACTAATTAAGACAAAATATAATAGGATATTTAAATTGACATAACTATAGATTTCGTTTAAGATATTATTATATTCAAATTGTTTCTTGAGTTTATTTAATGTTATAAATAATTTGTTTTTATTTCATTTTGTAAAAAAAAAAAGTTACGTAAAAACCAAAACCATCATATCTGAAATTTTTAATAAGCATAGTATATTATTATTATATTTAAATTTATTCTGATATTTTTTAAAGTTATATTGTTAATTTTATTTATTACTTACGGTTCATAAACGTTGTGTACATCGTATGAAGTTACTATTGTACACATATGACAGTGTACACATGTGCCTCAAACCACACAAAAGTGTCTAAACATTTTGCATTTCGTGTGACGCGTTTATTCGCACGCTTTGTGGGTGGCGGTTTCAAAAATCGTTACGCACTGACCGGGGAAATCATTTTGAACGCTCCACTGTCGATAAAGCATTTGTATACGTTTAAAGGTGGAAATTAC